ACACCAGTGAGTTAAATATATTCACCCTATTTACAAGCAACAAGAAGGCTTAATGTCTGGCTTCTTCTTCCTACCTATTAGAATAAATAACACTGACAAATTCCATGCTTGAAACTCCTGGGCTGCTGGAAACCCAGACCATATGGCATGCGTTACTCACAACTCCAAAGAAGTACAAGTGTTATACCATAAAAACTTATCATGATGCCAAGTATAACTTTACGCAGATGCTCAACCCATAAAACAGAAGTTTGATAGTCACCTCTTCAAGGACAGGAATACATTTGGGTTTAATGAAGACTGGGAATGCAAGGAAACACTAATAGTTTAAAGCAAGATCTGGGTCTAAAGTTACTCACATCTTGGTTCACATTCCCACTRGCTGAAAAAATGTCACATGTAGGGAACTGTTACTCTCTCGAAATGTCCCACATAAGTATCTGATAAACTAGCAAAATGCTTGAACTGTGTGACAACGCACTAGTCTTGATATGAATTCTCCTCCACTTTATCRAACCACAAACTTTCATTTCTACTGAAGAAATTCAGAAATATCAACTGAGCGACACAAGGACTTAAGAGGTTCTAACTACAGTTTGTGATTTCAAAAACATAATTGGTTTCTATCCAAATATCTAATACTATACTTCTCCACAATAAATTCTATGCAATTTTACTACATTTTCCTCCAATTGTCAGCATTAGAAGCCTTGCATTTTGTTGCAAAGGAAATTATCCTAATGATATCATGGGGATGTATTATTGTTTAAATAAAGAGTATCCTGTGCGTATTCTTAGAGGTTGCAGCACACACATCAAGCTTGCTAAAAAGTCTTTTGGAAAGCCTTTCTCAAAGAAATGGAAACAGAGTTAGAGCCATGTTTTTGCCAGTGCTTTAAGGTCACAAAAGTGTTTTTTAGTATTTTAGTATTACTTAAAATGATGTTCCCCTAATCAAAACAAAAAAATATTCCTTGGCACCTTCTCCACAATATCTCTACCCAAGAAAAAAGTAATCTTGCCTACACTAATTAAAGAAACACAACTGACCTTTGACAGAACACAAGAAAAAGATGGAATAATCTATAAGGAAATGCAACTATTTAATACAAAAAAGGTAGGTAAAATAGACTTTAGCATTCAGATTTAGACAGTCAGACAGGGTCAGAACTTTACGTGTATTCAAGCTGGTTATGGCTTCAATTTTCCTATTGTTAAGCTTTGTCTTAATTAYCACTGTATTCTTTAAACTCTTGGCTTCCTACCCATCTATTTTCTTTGAACTAATGCAACCATGCATTTTAAATTTAAATATGAAGTCAGAACTTTGGGCCCTGCGCCCAGCCACCAAGAGACAACAAGATGATATCATCACAGTCAGTCTGAGAGGCATAGACTGGCAGAGAGCAGAGGCCAGATACTGCTCAGAGGCAGGAAGATTCACCATGTTCCCAGGGAGATGCAGCATCAAGAGGGTCCTGGTGCAGACCCTCCTTGCACTCTGAGCCCAAGTTTAGCCAGCTCTGCAAACTACCACTCTTCTCACCCTCACGCAGGAATAGCATAATGGCTGGGGGGAAATGAGAGAGATGGGACTGCTTTTTTACGAGGCTTAAAGCGCTTGTGGAATTCTAATGTAACATTACAGCCTGATTGTTCTTGCAAACAAAGGCTCCTACTGCTGCACCAATTACAGGAGCCAGACGTTTGTTCTCTGGGTGCAATAGCTAATGATCTGCAAATGATTGTATGAAGGCGCATCTCAGCCCATCAACAGCTTCAGCAAGGCCTAGCAACATATTCTGAGCTAATTCACATCACTGAAAGCATTCCCCCGCACCATCTAAAACGTAAAGAGCTTTCCCTTTTTGTATTACRCTTTATGTTGAGATAAATCACAATTCAGTTTCTGCTTTTATTTTGGAGTGTTTTACGTGCATAAAATGCATTTTCCCCCTTCTAATAATCTTTAGTAGCTTTCAATAACATCTTTCAATATAATTTAAAATAGGGCTGGAACATTTCTAGTGACTGGTAAGTACTTACAAGACTTCTGCAGAAGTGCGTGTGCACACACACACGCATGTGTAAGACRATGTATATGCATGGGCAGCTGAGCTAGCAAGTCTCATTTTCATAATATATTTATACAGTTCTAAAATCAACTCTTTTAGCTATATTAATAGGGTGCATACTATTTACCTAGAAGTTAAGAATTATTAAGTTAGGCAAATGCCTGAATTCAAACTCCTGTCATGCTCAGACTGCCGAGAATCATGCGGCCACTTTAATATCGATAACACTCAGTGCAGCAAAGCACAAGTGCCCTTGCAGAAAGGGGCAGCTGTGCTAAGAATTCAGACATATTCCAGCCTTACCAACCTTGATGGTGGCTTTTAAGTGAAAGTGCTTTCTAAGAAGTTTCTGTTATCACCATTATTCCTCACTATTCTCTGACTTCACCAAAATCAAGCACCAAAAAAGGTACTATAAAATACTCATTTGAGACTTGATACCATCTAGTCAATGTATCTCAGAAATATAAAAGACAGAACAACTTAATTTAAAAAAGTTTATCTTGCCTAAAAAAAAAAAAAATAGTTAAAAGGCATATGTGGAAAGAATATGCTAGATACTTTAAAGTGTTTGCTATGGATTTCATCATTCATTCAATTTCACGTAAAACAGAAGTTTATATATACACCTACACTTTGACAAACTTCTTCAGGAAGGCTGCCAGCTCTTTTGGCAGAGATGGTCCAAGATCCCAGCAAATGCACTGAACTCTAATCCCAAACAGTGGCGACTCCATGACTACCACTTCACTAAATCTTCAACCCATGCATTCCTAGTTTGTTAATCCCTCAGGTTTAAACATTAAATTGTCATACTCAGCCATATTGAAAAGTATTGCTATTTAGATTTAAACCACTCAGAAAGGCAAGGCCAAAATAAATCCTGAAATGCGTTAATGTTTCCAGATAAACGTGTCTGACACAGTCAGTCCATGAGCACACAAAATACCTTCTCTCATGCAAAAGCTTGGTTAGAAGATATTCTCCAACACAGTTAGACCGAGATGGTCCTTGTCTTTTTTTGACAAAGGACAAAAAACAATTTTTTCTTTAGTATGTACTACCAACATACCAACTTTCAAGACTTAGGAAAACAATACAACTCTTAAAAAAAAAAATGCATATGTAAAGCTGTGTGTTCAACAGCACAGCCAGAGAAATTCAAACATCTTCACCTCATCCAGGCCATTCATGACCACAGAATCATAATGGTTAGAAAAACCTTTAAGATCACAGAGTCCARCCATAAACCCTTCTGCACCAAACCTGCTAGACCATGTCCCTAAGTGCTTCATCTAAGAGGTGGTTCTTCTTCACTCCAGTAGTGAACAAAGGGATTTTTTGGTAAAGCTTAGTTAAATTTCACGCTGCAGAAACTACACTTGTCTATTTTAAGTTAATTTCTGACATCAAAGGAATTATTTGGCCCCAAAATAGATAGGGTAGAAATTTTTAAATAATAACTTGCCTATCATGAGCCAAATGAATGCCTTGCAATATGCCTTTGTAGAAAGGTTCATCTCACATTGCTCCATGACAAAACATTTAAATATTTAATTTTGAGGTCATGCCATTTCACCTACACATTTCAGATGACACTGCAGACACTAGACAAACCAGTTTCACCAATACCCTGAGAAATATCAACTTCCTATTACACAATACAGGATAGAAGATCAGAAGCGTACTATCCCATGTGCCTTTTTTTTTTTTCCTCCCCTCTCCTTTTCTTTCCACATCGTTTCATTGGGGGGGGGGGGGGGAATCTCTACACAAGATCCATAGCTGCACCACAGACCAGGTTTTCAGAATATCAAATTCTGCATCCTCCACATTCCCCTGTCATGGGAAGCCTAATTGCATTCTCCACCATTTTACTAATGACAAAAATCTAAAAAATGCATTTAGCACAAATTTTAAAAATCCTTAATTTCTCAGAGGCAATTCAGGTAGCCTAAATAGTCATGACCTTTACTAGATTTAGAATAAGCATAAAGCACCAAGTCAGGCCCTGAGAACAAAAACAGTCATGCTAAGCATGACTGGAGAACACATGGAGTACAGAGTCTCTTTGGTACACAAATTCTGCAAGCAACCAGGTTAGCAAAGACTACCCGTCCCTCTTCACTGCTATTGTAATGTCAGAATGTCAGAATTGTAAGATTCTGACATCCACCAAAACAAATCCCCCACGCGTGCATCCGTATTGAGATGGGGTTTGGAAACAGTAAGAGTCATGTGCAATTCAAGGAACTCTTCCAATTGTTAACCCATAGTTGTTACCTCAGTTCTTTCTTAATCTGAATTACTGCCATTTTTGTTTAGGTCCTATTAAGGGGTTTTTTTTTTTTTTTTTTTTTTTTTGTTTCTTTTTCTTTTTTAAAGCCTTTCTTAACAGACTCCAATATGAAAAGTTTTAATTTTCATTTACAATCTTTTCAGAAGAAATGAAAATCCTGACCTCAAACTTAACAACACAAAATAACACAAAAACCCACTACTTGCTTCACGTACTTCTACACYGACCAGCAATCACAGCACACATTATACACATGGTGGAACTTATTCTGGGTCTAACACTAGGAAAAAGGATGAGACAGTTCAACAGCACTTCTAGATAATATAATTCTTAAATGCTTGTTATTGGTAGYCAAATGATTTTTCATAAGCCACTACAAGAAGGTCAGTGGTGCCTTGTTTTTGCCATCTTATTTACGTCTTTTCCAAGTCACAAAGTATTGTTAAAACCAGTTCTATAAAGAAAAGCTTAAGTATGAGGCATGTGACAGAGCTATGTTTTTTTTTTCTTTGTCAGAATAAGCATCAAACATCTAATCTGTCCAACGTACACAGGTATGCCACAAATCACTACATCCGAGGGTTGTCCTGATTCATATACATGAATCACCTGACAAGAGCACGCACCGGTCAAACACACTGGAGATGTTCAGATACATAAAACCACCTGCAAGGCGGGGATTCCAGTACTTCTCTTGTGACAATTACTCCAAATATGCTKCATTCTGCCCCGAAAAATGAATAAATAGTTAAGTAAATAAGATAGAAGCTATTAACAACTGTTTTTCCGTGGCTGCAAGCGGTTACGGGGCCGGCGAAGCCCGCCCGCCGCCGCCCGGTCCCCCCGCACGTGAAGCCGCGAGGCGCGGGCCGGGCCCGTCCTCGCCCGCCGCAGCGCGCTCCGCACCGGCGCGCCCCTCCGGCCGAGAAATGCGGAGGGAAAAATAAAGAAATAAAGGAAAACATAACACTCAACAGAGGTTAATTCGGGGAGTGCAGAGGGAGAGGCAGGAGCCCGCGAGTCCCCGACGAGGAATGCCAGGAATCCCTGCAGGAATGTGCGCGGCGGCGGCGCCCCCCGCGCGGCCGCCCCGGGGGCTCCAGCCCGGCCCAGCTCTCTTCACCTGAAGCCCCGGGCCGGCCGGCACCTTCCCGCCGAGGTCCCGGGGAAGGAGCCGCCGCCCCCCGCCCGCGAGGCGCCGCCGCCGCCCGAAAGCCCCCCCGGGACAGCAGTGGCTCACGGGGCCCCGCGCCGCGTCCGCCGCCCGCCGCCCCCTGCCCGCGCCGCGCCGCTCTCCTCACCCGTCCCGGGCCGCCTCGCCCTGTGCCGCGAGCGCCCCGCCAACTTCGCGCTCGCCGCCGCCCCCGCCGGGCCAGGCGCGCTCGCAGCCGAGCCGCGCGCCGACTGCCCGCCCCTCCAGCGGGGGAGGGGGCGCCGCGGCCGCGCCGCGCGGGGCGCGCTGCCTCAGGTGAGCGGGGCGAGCGAGCGGCCGCCTCGCGCCGCGGCCGTTGAGCGTCTGAGGGGAGCGGCCGTTAAACGTCCGAGAGGAGCGCGAGGCGCCCCGCGCCGCGGCCGTTAAACGTCTGACGGGAGCGCGAGGCGCCCCGCGCCGGCGGAGCGAGGACTCTCGTGTCCGCTCGCCCGGCGGCCGGGCCCGGCTGGTCCGGGCCGTCCCTGCGGAGGTAAGCGGGGCCGGAGGAGCCCGGACTCCCCTCAGCGGCCAGGCTGCCTCTTCTTGACGCCCTCCCGGGCGGGCCGGAAGCGGCGCCACACGCGGCCCGCGGCTTTCCAGAACATTCTGCCCATGCGGGAGGGCTGAGGCGGCGGCCGCCCGCACACAGGTGGGCAGTGCACGCGGCCTGCAGGGGTCAAAACGCGTTGGACKCCACGTCCCTGAGCATGGCCAAAGAGCCAGGGCTCACTTAACACCCCTCCCGCCCACAGAGGTTTGAATAGACTGAGGAAAAAGGCAAMATTGAAGGATAGACCCGTACGTAGAACAGAAATGTTGTGTGGAGTGGGATGTGTAGGTGCACATGGTCCTCCAAATGCAGCTGTGCCCCTTGCATCTGGGCACTTCCCATGCACTCCTGCACCTTCTACCCCCCATGGAAAGACACCTGGTTGGCAAACACCTGCAACACGAACTGCAGGATACAGCGTGCTTGCTGTTGAGAACGTCCTGCCTTAACTAGTATATAATAACAGAAGGGTTTGACTAGAAAGCAACATGCTTGAAGCAACATTCACGGTGTCATTTCTAGGGCACCATATCCAGTTTTAGGCACTGTACAGGAAAAAAAAAATAAAAAGCTCACACAAATATAGAATACTTCAGAAAATTGAGGGCAAAGGTGACAGGCAATTGAACTCACAAATATGCATGTAGCCATATGTTATTACAATTGAAGTGTGAAGAAATAGGCCAACAGAGTGTTCAGTTCTTACTCTGGTTTTGTAATGTGTGAAGAAATTGAACTTACTAGGCAATAAAATGTTTCACTGAAGAGGTGTGTACGCCCATGACTTTCAGGTTATTGTTAGACAAGAAATTAAACAGGTGCTGATCAACAATGTTATACAACAATGCATTTYCATTGCACTTAGAAGTAAACCAGAAAAATGTATGAGTTACATTTTTTTCTAACACCAGCATACCGCAATGATTATTAGTCATTATTATGTAGACTTTAATAATTTTTTTTTTCATTAAAGATTACCTATCAGGTAACAGCTCAGGAAGCAATTCAATTGTAATGTGGTGTGCTCTGTATTACTGTGCTTAGGAAACTGTTCTCCTGTCCCACGTTTCTTTTGATATCAGGAAAAAAAGAGTCTCACAAAGGAAGTAAGGCATTTTTTGTTTTGTTTTTATTTTAACCTTTTTGGTATTAAAAAAAAAAAAAAAAAAAAAAAAAAAGTGGAACCATGGAAGCACAATTACTAAAACTGTTCCTTGAACTATGAGAATCCCAGACTGAAAACCTGAACTTTGACTGGATTCTGACTAACAGTTTTGTCCTAAGCTTTATAAACCTCTAAGGAAAATTTTATCTCAGCCTGTAAATTTTCCTGAAAACAGTATTTTTACTCAAGTGTTTTGTCAAAGAGTTTCTCATAGATCTTTGGTATATTCTGAATATCAGTTTATGAGTACTTGGCGTAATAATACTAAACATTAAGATAGTAAGAGCCACAGTTCATCTGGAATTCAGTAAAAGCTCAGGATCATCCAGTTAAGTACACATGTTTGGAAGGAATGCAAAACACAGCAACAAGATAGAACTGCATGGAAGACAAGAGACAGGTCATATACAGAATATCATCTGAGTGAAGACTACCATTTCCTTTCCCACTCTCATCCACCTTCTTTTCTCTTTCTCCCCTTTAATGAAGGCTTTGGTCCTTGTTTACAAAGCTCACTTGACACTGTGATTAATGTCTCTTAGGCCAGGCAGTGAATTAGCAGGCACTTGTGAAATACAATACAAGATGGAGTAAAGCAGCTAAAGCAAAAACAAACAGTAATGCTCTAGCAGCTTGTGCTGCTGTAGATTAATTCCAGCTGCTGGCTGCACCAGCACACCTCAGGTGTTGTACAGCACTCCCTAAATTCACTTCTCCTTCCTCATTGAGTTAGACTGCACTGAAACTTGATTTTAAAGTTGGCCTAGCAAGATACATGTTTATCTCTTACTATTCCACTGCACAGTGAAGTGAATTATTCTGTTTCCTGATTTCCTTTCAGGAAAGGACCTGAGCCAATAATTTCTCTCACAGTGGAAAGGAAAAAAATATTCTTTCTCACAGTACTTCTTTCTGTAAAAGCAGAAACACTGCTTTTACACATSTTTTACAATATATATGGCATGATTCTTAGTGATTTTCTTAAATTGTTACAAAAGCTTAGGCATCTGTTGCTTAAGAAATGCCAAGATTATCACATTATTACTATATTCGATAGMGTATGTAATAGACATCTCTATTTCTTTTTTTTTTTCAAGAAATACAGCCTTCAAAATTCACATCTCCTTTCTATCCTCCAATATTGTTGTCACCCACTAATTTTCTCAAAGCATTTTATCTTAGGCAGAATGCTTAGGAGAGTATTATAAAGTTTTGAACTTAACAAGACACTCCTGAGTTATATAAGCATGAAAAAAGCCCTTTTATAAAAATAAGAATACTTCAGCTATCACAGAACACAAGAAAGAGTTATATTTATACATTAAATTTACAGTCAAGTAGATTTCCTCCCAGAGGAAGATTTGGTTTATTTGGAGAAATTTAATTTTACATTCTTACCAGATGCTTTCCTAGCATACGATATCGGCTTTCTCCAAGGACTGCCAGAAAGGGAGGCCATTTTTCCCCCACTTTTTTTTTTTTTCCTCCCCTCCCCAGTGGCTTTTTTTTGGGGGGGGAAAGGAGGGGAGTCTGTCTTTCATATTTGTCATCTCATATTTTCCCATATGCAGCTGTTAAATGCCTAGAGGACTGCTGATACTACCCAGACCACTACGTTTCCTCTGTTTTTAACCCATGCACATAATGTAGAAAGGCACTACTAAAAAGAAATCTGAATAATCACAACCATTAGAGCAGCTATCTAGGAAAGTATTTACAATGAAGGACTTTCTTGTATTTACCATGGTAAGATGTGGCAAGTAAAATGCCTAATATGCCCAATGAAATCGTGGAACAAGAGATGAGTAACGTTACCTCTGATATGCCTTTGTTAGGAAAAAAATGCAAGCTTTTACCTTTAGTTAGTTAATGCATGCTAAACATAAGGTTAGCAGATCAGGATTTAACCATAAATTGTCATCTGCAACGTCACATTAGTTAGCTCAAGAGTTTACTAATAATCTTCCTAGTGTATATAAGAATGTTAGGTAAGAAATCAAGGACGAGATAAGATAGGGGTAACAAGGTGAGTGGGAAGTGAAGAAAAGAAGGTAGCATTGGCTTTAAAAGCTGTTTGAAATACAGGGTTTGATTGCATATAATATGATAGTTCAGTATTAACTAAATACTTAACTAAAGTATTAACTATATTTGTTCTATGTCTAGCTGCCGTGACCTCTCATTCATGGACAACTTTCAGCTATATCCATTTTCTTCCATCTCCTTAATAATGCAGTCTTGGTCCTGCTAGTTACCCAGCAATCCCAAAAAAGACATTAACTTTTTTTTTTTCTCCTTATAGCAGCACATTTTCATTCTAACTAACTTTTATTATTATTATTTTTATTATTATTATTATTTTCCCCCCCAGCATTTGAGCACAGCTAAGGAAAGAATTCCAAGCCTATGAAAGTCTAATCCAACACCTTTCAGCTGACTTTATTTTGATGTGTCAGCCGATATAATTCATGATGCTATGCAATAGCACCATCTCGTGGAAGTCATTATCTTAACCATTCTGATACATCTGAGTAACATGCAAATTAAGACAAAAAATAATAAAAAAGGTCTTTGATATTCTTAAGAGTGTTTTTAGCTTCAGGGAGCTTCTGCACTCTCTTAGTCAGGTGATGGATACAATCGAAATAGCTCTGTGAAACAAAACCCCAGAAAAGGCATAAATGTTTCAATAATGGCCAATATGAGAGTCTTTAAGGATCTAATCACAAAAATAACATGAGAAGTTAGTTCTTTTTTAAAGGCAAAGCACTGCTCCTGAAATCCCTGCAGTATCTTAACCACTGATGCACT